CCCATTTCATTTTTGAAAAAGATACACAGTTAGATGACATATGTATGTGAAATGTTACTTTCAATGAGAAAATGTGTTCCTGAAACGCGAAAAACTATTTCCATTTGCGTATTCATCGTTCAATCCCTTAAACGGGTAACACAACCTGGTCGCGGTTTGTCCCGAGAAGGCTACAGCTGCATCCTTCTATCACTGATACTTTAATCCCTACATGTAATCAGCAACGCATCCAACTGTATTGTACACAATGTACGTATAATATAGATTTCATTTTTACTTCAAATTATACTTTTTACACAATACTAGTAAATTCATACGAATGTTACGGCACTTCCATATATTTCTAGTCTCGATATCGCTGAAATACAGCCGATGTTACTTTAAATTTTAACTCACTCGCCCACTCCATGTATTTCTTATATATTCGTTACTTTAACATATCGTTCTTAACAATTCATCGTTCTGTTGTTTGCTGGTCTGTATACACATACAACTGATTACTACCGTTATCCTGACTACCGTTATATTATCCCCGTATCCCCATTTCAGATGCCCTCTGGATATTCAGTATATATTCAAAGTAGTCTGGCTCAGATATAATTAATACTTTCTATTCTGTTTCCAGAAACCAATCTGCCTAAATCACATTTCTTACAGTCATATGTCCTCATCCGACGGTTTCATGATTTATAATAGATTATTAGTCTGCTGGTATTGCACACCTATGTGTTGGAACGTTGCTTGGCAACATGACGTCATATAGAAAGCATGAAACTTAGCTCATTCAGGAAGTATTGGTTACATTAGTGTTGAGTGTTGCGGAAATTGCTATTAATAAGCGCCATTGTGTCTCTGGCTTCTGACAAATATCCTATAATTAACCACAAGGGGACAATACGGTCACCACGGTGTACGTCAAATATATTGTAAGATTGCTTCATAAGTGAAGATTATCGACTTTTCTCTTGTTCAAAATAATACGTAGAGGTTTGGGAAAATATTGTAGCGCAAAGAGGGAATGTGACTATTGTCATGCTTGACGTAAATGTCTATTTATCCTCACCATCACCATCACCACCATAACTACGCCATCTTCATCATCACGACCTCGCCTACACATAACCATCACCGCCTTTTAAAAAAATGACTTGTTTGATATCTTAGACTTGAAGACTTGAAGCTTTAATATAAATATTGATGTCATATATATGACATCTATAATGGAGCGTTTACCGTCAACGCTAAGTCTTTCATATAGATACCACCTATACTGCTCTAATGAAAAATAATTTATAAAATGAGATCTTAATTTACGTGTTCGCAACCACATATGGAAAATGTTATATACATCAATACCGCAATAGATTACCCTGCTATAGATTAAGAGGTGCATATTCGAGTGAGTGAGTGAGTTACTTAAGTTTTAAACGCCACTTTCAGAAGTTCACTAGTGACAACATGTCAGTTCAATGTTGGAGAGAGGTAAAGAAACAATTGAGGTAGAGGTTTACTTTGCTATTTCCTATTCTTTATGCCCCAGTGAGTTGATGCTCTTCGCGAGGTAGGACCCGTTATATTACAGTATACATTTTGAATATAGATCAGATCTTTTTAACTGGGCGACGCCATTTTGTTTGATGCAAATGCAAGTGATATGAGAGGCGGAATCTGATTGGTCAATAGGAGGGACATAGAAGGGACATAACTGCCATTGGTTGGGCTACGTTGGGTCAAGCCACATAATTCCATCCAAGATGGCAAGGGTGGAGACTGAACACTAAAGTCAATCGGGAAGATGGTTTTGAACTATCAAGGATCTTAAATACGTCGAATATGGGTTCCAACTGGAACCTGACAGAAGGAGTGAGTGAGTGAATATGTTTTTTACGACGCTTTCAGCAATATTCCAGCAATATCACGGCGGGGGACACCAGAAATGGGCTTCACACATTGTAGCCATGTCGGGAATCGAACCCGGGTCTTCGGCGTTATGAGCGAACGCTTTAACCACTAGGCTACCCGATCGCCCCCTGACAGAAGGAAGGGATGACACATTTTCTCTAGCGTTGTTTAATTTCTGGGAATTGTATGAGCCACATGTACATTTATAAGATCTGATTCTAACAAGAAAACTTTTAGTGGACCAACATTTTGCTTATGCGCCGCAATTCGTTTTGCAGAGTTGCGTCCCTTAAGAGTGCCAGGAAACTATGATCGTGGGTTCGAATATTTGTACGCCTTGATTATGTTCCTAGGTCAGCATCATTCCCGTGCTTGTGAGATTCGTCAAAACAGTAAACGTCTAAAACCTTTATCACTTATGGCCTTCCTCCCACATGGGTGAGGTGAGGTGAGGTGAGGTGAAATGGGGTTTAACGTCGCGTCCAAGATTATTACACTTATATAGCGACGTGCATGTACGTGTGTGTGTTTGTGTGGCTGCTTGTACTAGTCCGGACTGATGCCGATTTATAGTGCTAGCTCACTGAGATACCATGCCGCAGTTTAACATGAATATCCCACTCAGACACAGTTTACTGACTCCGAGCCGACCAGTCCTTGTTTTAGCCCCTTAATGCCGAGCGCCAGACAGGGTAACAACAAGTACCATCTTTTAACGTCTTTTGGTATGACGCGGCCGGGGATCGAACTCCGGACCTTCCGCTCTCCGGGCGGACGCTCTACCACAAGACCACGGAGGCGGTTTCCTCCCACATGGAGCGACAAACCGTTATATACAGTTGTTGCGAAGTTAAAGGGACCCACGTAAATACTTCGAGTTATCCGAAGGTTTGACACAACCGGAAAACGGTGAATAAAGAAGGAATACGTAGGCCCAAAGCTTTTACTTCGAGACAACCGTAAGTTCGACACATCAAAGTTCGACACAAGGGTGTTTAACTAACTGAGTGGAATTCGGTAATATCACTACCACTCGAGGTATTATGCAACTAGGTAGCGGAATAAGCCGAATTAACCCGAGTGAGTCACGTATATATTGACACAGTCCATTCTGACATATTCGGTCAATCACGTGAACATTAGAAAACACTGACGGCGATCCTTTGAGAAAGCAACAGATGGTGATATTTTGGAATATTAATTGAGACTTGATGCCAGGTTCTCATTGTACAGTTGCATTTCAGAATTTACAATTGATTTAAGAGCACACCAGTCTGATTAACGTCAGGGTGACGTTATCACACAGAGAAATGCATCGCATGATAAAGCGAACGAGAAACGCTGTATGCGCGCGACAGTATGGAATTTCAAAGGCTATAAAATATTATATCCAGGTAACCTTTCTCATTCTGAGTATGTTATTCGATCTAATGAGAAATAAAAGAGGAAAAGATAAAGAAAATACAGTGCCCGGAATGCATCGCCTTCACGATCAATAGATTAATGCAGATCCTCTTTATGGAGACCGATTGCACCGTGCGATCAAACACTATGCCGTCAATGGAATACATGCACATGTTCGCTAGCTCTTCCACTAACGTGATGCTGCATGCGCATGAAACGTATGTACGCACAGCTTTGGAAAATTAGGTCATTTTCAGTGAAACACAAGATAAATTCCCAATAATTACTGAGTCCGATTAAGAGAAATGAACAACACGGTCAATTTGAGTGAGTGAGTGAATTGGGTTTTACGTTGCTTTGTTTTAGTTATATCATGACGTGTCAGCTTGGTGTGGGAGTAAGGCCCGAAGTGACGCAGGTCTTAGACGTTTGTCTGTTTGGTGAATCCCACTAACACGGGTGACGACAAACCTGGAAACCCACGATCCTTAAGGCTCTGGCACGTAAAAGGGACACGATTGCAGCGCCTTGGCACATAGTGTCACATAGAGGTGCACGTTTGTTTGTAGTTTAAACCTAGACTCAGCAATATTCCAGCTATATGAGAGCGGTCCCCTAAATACTGAAGGCTGGACCAGGCAATCCAGTGATTGACATCAGGAGCATCGATCTAAGCAAGTGACAGGGACTGTCAGGGGTCAGGCAGGGGATTACGCAGTCAGTTAACCATAACGTTTGGGGTATGACACATGGGGGTGACAACAGAGTTGACTGACTGGGTGATGGTTTGTGTTAAACACTCTTTGCATATTATTAAAGCTTTATCCTGTAGGGGGCACGGCTGGCCCAGTTGTCTAAGGTGCCGCGATTCGCTGTGCAGAGTTGCGTCCCTTGGGCACGCCAGAAACCTATGATTGTGGGTTCGAGTCCTGGTTCGCCCCAATTATGTTTCTAGGTTTGTCAGCACCAAGGTGGTAAATGTCTGAGACCTGCATTACTTCGGGCTTTCCTCCCACATTAAGCTGACACGCCGTGATATAACTGGAATACTGTTAACCCAACTCACTCACTCACTCACTTTATCCTGTAATCTTTATATTGATCTTTATCAATATTATGAAAAGCACAGACACGGGTACGATTCGTTGTCTTGGATTATATCGGATTCGAACTCGCTACCATCCGGTTGTAATATGTTCCAACAGTTGTTTCTTGTTTTTGTTTGTTTATTTTTTGTTTAACGCCACACGCAGCAACATTCCAGCTATATGATGGCGGTCTGTAAATAACTGAGTCCTGACCAGACAATCCAGTGATTGACAGTAGGAGTGGGATACCATGACATGCATCCAGCAAGTCAGCGACCCTGATCACCCGATTCCGTTAGTTACGACAAACATTGGTTGCTGACGATCAATTCAATTCACGGGTATAGTTTCTTGCAGAAACCTCAGACAAAATACGTCAACGACCCGTAATACACTGATCCTTGCTGAATTGCCTGTCCCAAATTCGATTCCTTTCGTGTACAAGCATCGTGATACAGTAGAATATGTCTGATTGTGGCGCAAAACAATATTCATGCACTCTCATACACATTATTCTTGAAAACAATAGTTTAAAAACACTAAGTCAACATTACGGTTTGATGTTCATCGAAGCAATATAAGAGCCAATTAACGGCATATCCTTACCATATATGTTAGATAGGATATCCTTGGTAGAGACTGGTTGACGACAAACTTAAAGGCCACTCCGGTCAGCACAAGGGTGAAAGACAGCTGAAGGCGGTTCTGGGTCAAAGTCACACCAACAGCAAAGGTCGTGAAAGCCAAGAGCGTTATCAACATCTAAAAAGCAACCAGAATATTTACAATATAACCCATTGTGACAATATTGTATTCAATTAGAGCAATTTGGCACTGACATGAAAAATCTAAATTTGGTTTCGGGGGTATTACAATCACAAACCATAAGATGATAGAATGCCTATCAGCCATGGACATTGCGTCAACGGGACATGAGGTTTTGAATTAGGGACTGAGTAAATAGAAATCTAATACATCTGTTCATATTAAACCAAATCAATGAAAATTATACCGTTTCAATATCCCATTAAGGGAGGACGAAGTCATATATATCTAAAACAGTAACAGCCATATCAACAGTAAAATTCTATTACATACCGTCTCACCATTGTCAAAAATATATTGCATACCATCACACCATTGGCAGAATTGTTTTTCATGTGATCTCATCATTGCCAGAAAGATATTCCATACTATCTATTGATTGTCAGAAATATATTCCACACAATCTCACCATTGTCAAAAATGTATTCTATACCATCACATCATTGTCAGAAATATATTGCATACCATCTCACCATTGTCAGAATTGTTCTGCATACTATCTCACCATTGCAAGAAATTTCATACTATCTATTGAATGTCAGAACATTCTCTCACTATTGTCAAAAATATATTATATACCATCATATCATTGTCAGAAATATATTCATTACCATCTCTCCATTGTCAGAATTTTTTTCCATACGATCTAATATTGCCAGATATATATTCCATAGTATCTATTGATTTTCAGAAATATATTCCATACCATCTCACCATTGTCAAACATAATTTCATACTATCTCACCATTGTCAGAATTGTTTTCCGTACTATCTCACTATTGCCAGAAATATATTTCATACTATCTTTTGATTGTAAGAAATATATTTCACCATTGTCAAAAATATATTATATACCATCACATCATTGTCAGAAATATATTTCATACCATCTCTCCGTTTTCAAAATTGTTTTCCATGCTATCTCATCAATTGCCAGATATATATTTCATACCATCTATCTATTGTCAGAAATATATTCCATACCATCCCACCATTGCCAACAATATATTGAAAACCATCACATCATTCAGAAATATATTTCATACCTTCTCACCATTACCAGAAATATATTCCATAGTGTCCGTTCGTTGTCAGAAATATATTCTATACTGTCTCACCATTGTCAGAAATATATTCAATACCACCACATCATTGTCAGAAATGCATTCCATACTATCTCACCATTGTCAGAAATATATTCCACACAAAGAAGCCAGGTCGTCTAGCCGCATGGCACATGACCATCATTGTAGGGTGTCTCTCTCTGGAGCTGGTGTACTCCTTAACAGACACCTTGGGAAACATCTCCACATGCTCGAACAGTGCCCACTCCTGCTCGTCCACGAAGCTCTGCTTGTTGACACTGCTGAGTTCCTCCTTGTCCTCCAGGAGATCCACCTCACACTCAGTCAACTCAGAGGAGATCGTCAGGGATAGATCCTGAAGTAGATGTACATGCATGGCACACTGGATTAGCATGGGTAGGGACATATCACTGGGCCTGATTTAAATCCAAGCTGCCAACAGATGGACGTTGTCAGTTAAACTGGATCAGCATGTTATTGGAAATCTAAGCTCCAGTTAATCTTATTTTGGGAATCCTTTCAGGGATCCTCCAATGGCCTCGTTAACTGTCAAGTCCTCGGGACTCTTGGTGTAATAGATGGAGCGTCAGTCCGCTGAGTGGAATGTCTGTGGTTCGATTCTCTGGCCGAGTCGTACCAAAATACATTACAAAATAGTAATTGTTGTCACCTTGCTTCGGAATTAAGGGAATAAAACAAGAACTGGTCGGCCCGGAGTCAGTATACTGTGCCTGAGTGGGGTATCCATGTTAAACTAGTATCTCAGAGGGCTAACACTTAAAAAACGGCAATAGTCCGGACTTGTACAACCCAGCTAACACATTTTCAAAACATTTTCAAAAGGTTTCATTGTAGTTTTTCAAAACAAAATTCGTCAAAATATTTTATTACCGTTTTTGAAATGTTTTACAATTATTCAAAATGTTATTCAAGAACATCATGCTTTAACATAGGCGAAACTATTTCATAACATGTAATTACAATGTTTTCAACACCTGGCAAAAATGTTATGCCAGAAACTATTTCTTGAAATGTTATTGAAATGTTTTTAAAATGTTATTCAAGAACATCATGCTGTCCCACAGGCGATACAGTTTCAAAACATCTTATTGCAATGTTTTCAACAAATTGCAGAAATGTTATGCTAGAACATATTTTGATGAAAAGTTATTAATATGTATGAAAAACAGTTAAACACAAGTTCCCAAGCTTGCACACTCCGTTTTCATAATGCTGTGGATTGGTAATACAGTAATAGAACATTTTCAGAACAGTTACAGTTTAATCTGTAGACTATATGTCTAAAGAAAATATAACAGATATGAGTAAGACAAAACTTCACATGATTTGTTTTTGCTGATCACAGATAGTGTCACCGGCAATTACATTTGGTCGCGCATATTTTGCGGGGATGTGAGAGAGACTTTTGAGAAGTGAATAAATATTGATCTTTGGGAAAAGACGCATTTTCTCACATTTAATTATTTTACATGACTAGTTATTAAAATGTCTTAAAACATTTTTGAAAATTTATCACAAACATGGTCTTAAAACGTTTGTAAAATCTGATATCACAAAAACAATTTTAAAATGTTGTGACAAAATGCCTTGTTGTCTCGTGAAATGACGTTGGAATGACGTCACACTATTACGTCATATTTTGCACCTGCCATCATCAGTTCAAGTTAACTCTACTTCCAAGTGGCATTGTGCAGCAAGAGCTGAATCGTCGAACTCTGATTTCTTAGGGGGGTAAGTTCATTTTCAAACGCAGTATCCGCTTATCTAAGCAGTATCTAAATGACATTGTGTAAATATAACATTTGTTACTTTTAAACACTTTCTAAATGGCATTGTGTATTAATGCTTTCGGCCATGGGAACCGTGCCAATTTACACTTGTCAGAGGGGTACACAAAGTACGTGATCTAGGGGTGCTTTACAAAACGCGAATCGCTTGCAAGCGATGTACAGCGATTCGCCTTACAACAGTTCGCTAACTTTCAGCCGCTTGCAAGAGAACCAATCTCTGGCTGAGGTCGCTTCGTTCTCAAACCAAAATGGCGGCTGACTTTGACAGCGGAACAAGAAATTCTTCATTAACGAGGGAATGAGCAAAGGTAGCTTACACCCCATCATCCTCAGTCTGCTCCAGAAAGCCTAACAACTGCACCAGACACAAACCTACACAATACGTAATGATCGAAGAGAAAACTTTAATGTGCCTATGCGAAAAAATATATTCCTATATGTACTTGAACAATCATCAAATTCACATCAGCAATTAATGACTTTCACCCGTGTTGAATGCAGAGCGTAACGTGTTTTTATAGCGTATTCCAGAGGTTAGCTTGTGGCATATCACACTGTGTAGAAATACAGAGGGACACTATTGTACTTAAGAGGTCTTATACAAGGTGTTTGGGTGTTCCCGGTGTACCACTTTTTGGTGAGGTGAAATTGGGTTTAACGTCGCGTCCAAGAGTATTACACTTATATAGCGACGTGTATGCACATGTGTGTGTGGCTGCTTGTTCTAGGCCGGACTGATGTCGATTTTTAGTGCTAGCATACTGAGATACCATGCCACAGTTTAACATGAATACCCCACTCAGACACAGTATACTGACTCCGAGCCGACCAGTCCTTGTTTTAGCCCTTTAATGCCGAGCGCCAGACAGGGTAACAACAAGTACCATCTGTTAACGTCTTTTGGTATGACGCGGCCGGGGATCGAACTCCGGACCTTCCACAGAACTGAGTCTTGAAGTTCTTTGTTGACTGAATGTTGAAGACATGGCGTGGATTACCATGTCGGTCATTGGTATTGTGTATTCTGCAGTACATGCCTGAAGGATATACAGTCCCTGACTATTTGTCCTAATCATTTGTATCTTGTTAACAGTGAGTGGGTGTTGTACGTTTTGTACATTGGTAGCAAAAGACTGAGATTTTCCAACACCCTGGTTCGTTTTCAAAACATTTTAGAAACGTTATAACAAATTGTTCAGGTCCTTGGAATTTTTGAAAATATACCGAGTAGGTCGAGACATGCCGAAATTCATCCATGCTGTCGAAAGAGGTTTTGGAAGTTACATGAAATCGGAGACAAAAATGAGGTTTTTCTGTTAGTGAAATATACTTGAAAATATTCAGCTGTCTTTATTTCCCTTTAATTTCGTTTACTATTGTGTATACATTATTTAAAGTGCACAGTTATGTCTCGGCGTGACAGTTTAATGTTGGAGAAAAACCCAGGTGATTCAGTTGTAGCCTTCTCTTGATTGTGTTAGCCTTCGTATTATTGGGGCTTTGCCGTCAACTTTCATGTGATGGGTTTGTCACATTGTTGTAGTATTCAACTTATTTTATCGGAAAACAAGAATCAGATTAAGGTATTTTCGGCAAGTGTTAATTCAGTTATGCCAACTGGTAACAAGGTCGGATTGTACAGTGCCAGCATTTGTGTATCCTTGTTTGTAAAGTTCCAAGTTGAAACTTTCAAAATTATTTTCAAAACTTTGATACGAAATGCATGATCAGAAGTGACATTATCTGAGTTTTCCATCGTTAATGCATCATGATTTTTCCAACATCTGATAATGTATTTATAAGTTGCATCTCAAATTAAACAAAAATAAGCTTCATGTGGAACATGACGTCGCTTACTGTCGAAATACCAGCTGCATGTGTAGAGCAGATTAAATTCGTACAGAAACGCATTCCTCGTAACTAGATTATTCGGACTACAACATAGAATTGATTACCTGTGTGTCAAACGGGAAATGTTGTAGCTCCAGGTTTTCGACAAAGACTCCCTTTATACGGCGACATTCAAACACACGGAAATGATCTGGACTTATTGCCTCTTTATACCGCCATTCCTCTTCCTTTGCATCCCCTAGTACGTTCTCGATCTGTAACTGGGGGTCCCATTCTTCCTCCTTCCCGTTTTCGTCCTGCCCAGCATTGAAGAGATATTGTTCAATCAACAGAAAGCAATATAACAATGTCATAGGAAACTACGTGCACGCCATGGCGGCCAGCAAAGTAGTCGCTCCTCGATTAGACAACCACTGAACAACAGGAAGAACAATTGCATCCTGCCTTTATTGTTGAGCGTGAGTGAGTAAATGTTGTTCAAACCACAGAAAGCAATATTACAATGATAGAAAAATATATCACATGCAATCTGAAGTGTAGTCGCTCGTGGAGGAGACATTTACTAGAGATCATTGGATAAAGATTGATTGATTGATTGTTTGTTGTTTAAAGCCGCACGCCGCAGCAATATTCTAGCTATATGACGGCGGTCTGAAAAATAATCGAGTGTGGACCAGACAATCCAGTGAGTGACATCATGAGCATCGATCTAATTGGGATACGATGACATGCCACCCAACCCCGTTAGTCGCCTCTTACGACAAGCAGAGTCGCCTTTTATGGCAAGCATGGGTTGCTGAAGACCTATTCTACCCCGGATATGGCATTCAGAAGTGATACACACGAGGACGAGAATTTATGGATGTCAACTTCTTTATTATGAACACAAGAGTACACACTTCCTCCTTCACCCGCCCTCCTTCTCCTTCTCCCCCTTCTCTTTCGTTATAGGATAAAGGTTCTCATCCTGTTGAATATTGTTATATCAAGTGAGTTTGATTTACAACAGCTTAAAACAACATATCAGTTATTCAAGGTCTGTCAGCTTGATGTGAGAAGATGTGTGAATTTAGACCTTTACTACACCGGTAAAACCCATGAGCACGGATATGGTGTTGACAAACCTAAACATGTACTGGTTGAGTTTGAGTTCGATCCCACGATCACTCCGAATTGAGGCGCCTTAGACGTCTAGACCAACCATGTCCGTGACCTTGATATGCTGTAAAAAGCAATATGACAATGTCATAGCACACTACCTGGCGTCATATGGTAGCGCGTCGCTCTACCAGCAGACAAACCAGTGGACGACATGTCACATGGCTTATCCTCTGCATATATCACAATGACTTACCAGCTGTTTGTAGTGTTTCGGCTGTTCCCATCGAGCCTGCAAGAACACATCAGCAGCATATTTCTCCTTCAGGGTGTTCACCTCGCCGATCTTTAGGAACACCACACGAATGTAAACCCTCACCTGCAATACAGTTACACTTGTACGTGGTTTACAAGTTGTTTGATCAAGTGGTTTACAACTTGTTTGAGAAAGGTTACACCATTCAAGGCCTCAGTAAAGCTTTCAAAGAGTTTTATGGTGGACATGTGGAGGACATTTCAAAACTTGACATCAGTGATGGACATGATGCAATTCCCTATTTTGACTTGTACCATACGTTCCCGTGTTATTTCAGATTTAAATAAAATGACTTGCCTTTGCATGTGTTTGTCACTGGTGCTACCGGTTGGGCTGGATACGCTTATCTTTTCGCGAACACCTAGTATCCCCACTATTTGATAATTATTCATAAACACATGCTCATGATGTAGTCGGAATCGAACAATCGACTCTGCGTTTGGCTTTTCTTATGACTATGGAAAGGGCTTTGCTTCTTTTGTTGTTCTAGTCAAGCTTAAGCAGACCCGAGAGGGAGCTAGCCCTAACGCCACCCGAGCAGTATGTGAATGACGCCCACGACGCTGTGTTGAAAAAAAATTGTGGGCAAATCTGAAATGATGCAAGTTTTAGATGGTTATCATTTTGATGAGTATGGGACTTACCAGCCAGAAATCATAATCGGGCCGAATCTGTTAATCAAGCCCACAACCAGCAGATCCTGGCACGATCAAGGGACTTAACTTTGTTCAGAACAATGTACAATTCCAACTATATTTTAGTAATATGTATCTATTTATAAGTAAAACTGTTATCAAAAGCAATCATATCAAATTAAATATACTTTTTGAATTAGTAGTTTACTTGATCCTTGCCCCTCGTTACATTTAGTGTTTGCTGAGAGTATGTGGAAACTGTTACCCTCTGCAGCGTAACCTCTCTAATCCGGAAAACCCTCCTTCCGGACACTTGCTATTGGCAACGTAAATATATTTACAAGAGGTAATTACGTTGTACTCATTATTTTAATCCGGGATCGCTACGATGAATTACATGTATAATAATATGACATTTCAGAAATATTCCTCTACAGAGGCACCTCTTTAGTCCAGAAACCCCGCCATCAGGATTGTTGCTATTGGCAACGTCAATATATTTCCAAAGCACATTTACTTCGTAATCATGATCCTAACCCGGGATCACCATGATGAATTATAATAATACGATTTGTTTAGATTTGTCTGTGCAGCGGAACCTCTTTAGTCGGGAATACCGGCCATCTGGATGATTGATGTTGAGAACGTCTATATATTTGCAAACTATCAATTTAAATTTACAAAATCAAGAAAAAGACATTTCTGATCAAGTCATTTGTATTTTTATGAAATGTACATCATCATATTATTAAAAAGAATGCAGTTTGTTTTATCACGTGCTGTTTTCTATGAAGTTAGTTCCCGTTGCGTATATCCAATGGGTTTCAGATCCATTGTTCGTACAGAAGTAGAATGTATAGATCAGTTTGAGAGAAACCAGATAAATAACAATTTTCTTTTGCTTCAGCGTGACTCCATATCCACGTTTCAAATGTCACCAGCTGCTTATAACAAACCAGATGCCAGAAATAGATTCAGAGCGTTCACAAAGCAATTAACTGTCTGTGTTTAGGATATTAGAACATACCACAGAATCAAATGGTAGTACCATTCTAAATACAACTAATTACATTTCTTTCATCAAAAAGAGTGATTTAATAGCCGTCAAATAGTCAAATAATCCCAGACTCAAAGACTGTTTCGTAACAAATGTCAATATTAAGAAAGTTAATTAAGGAAATTATCTTAAAAGGTATCAACGTTGAACTTGATAAATCAAGAAACAGTGATTATGCCTTTTTGTGGCAGTGCAGCTGATATCGACGAAACTCATTTGTAAAATAGAATGAAGGTTAAAGTTCACAGAGGAGTTGCTAATTGTTGCAGTATGGGTAAAGAAGAATCAGAAACGCTTATCTCTTAATCAAAATTATGCGTGAGTTGGGTTTAACGCCGCTTTCAACAGTATTCCATTTACGTCAGGGCGTGTCGTGTAGGGAGAAAGCCCAAAGTGATGCAGGTCTGTATGATAAATGAGTGAGTCAATGAGTTTGGTTTAATGCCGCCTTGTTAAAATATTTCAGTTATAGTACTATGTGTCAGCTTCATGTGGAAGGAAAGCTCCAAGTGATACAGGTTTTAGACGTTTACCACTTTAGTTTAACACACGAGCATGGGTGTGAAGCTGACAAACCGGGATTCGAACCCACAACCATAAATTTCTCGTGTACTCAAGGTACGCAACTCTGCACAGCGAAATCCGGTGCCTTAGACGACTGGGCCACCCGTCCCCCCACGTATAGTACACCCTCAACAGTATCCAAGGAAGATAGATTAGTCTGGTGGTTAAAGCGTTCGCTCGTCACGCCGAAAGCCCTGTTTCGATTCTTCAAGTGGGTACAATGTGTGAAGCAGATTCCTGGTGTCGCCCGCCATGATATTTGTGATATATTGCTGAAAGCAGCGTAAAACCGTACTCAGTCACTTACTTAAACATAGAATGTATTATGTACTATATTTTACATAACGTTCAAGTGTTACAGGTTGCATTTAAACTAGATGCACTACCAGGCAGCCTATTTCTGCAGGCATCAAAGTGACAAGGTATTCTCTGTTGATGAAAATGGACAAAATGGCTTCCGCGCTGTTATCAAGTATCTTCAGCTGAAAGGGCTAACTCAAACAACCACTCATGCGGACATGGTGTCAACTTTAAGGGATGATGCTCCTTCCTTTGCCACTGTTAGGAGGTGGACAGCGGGGTTCAAGAGGGAAAGATCATCGAATATGATCCAAGATCAGAAAGACCTTCTATTGCCACCACTGTGGAAAAAGTTGATAAATTACTTGCTATGATTATGGATGGTCGGAGACTCACCACACGTCACATAACCAATGCAATAGGCATACCTCATGAGAGAGTAGAGAACTCTGTATGACAAAGGTATGATTAACACGCTGAGTTTCAAGGCTTCTGACACATGTTCAGAAACACTCCATGTTCATGATATCTCGTCATGTTGAAGCATAACCAGCTGATTTTGTTGAGCGATTTGTGTTCATGGATGGAGTCATGGTTTAACCACCATCAGCCAGACTAGTTGGTTTCGGTTTTCTGGGATTCCAAAAGAATGCTACTGGCCATGGTGGACTGCCTTCCGAAAGATCAGGCCAATAACGACCAATATTATATGCTTATCTGCTCATGCAACTGCGTCAGAATATCAAGGCTAAACGTTTTGGAAAACACGCTAAAGGTGTGTTGCTCCCCAGAATAATCCATCGTAACTCTTCATGTATGATGTGTGGCATTGTCGTTCTGAAGTATCCTTGCGTCTTCTGGAAACACTCATAAAACACATGGCCATGACCACAATTTCTTTATCCTCAGGAATACCAATACTTTTCTAAGAGTTTATGTTATAACTGACTGATACTTATAGTTAGAGTTTCTTTTGTCATTCACCGGTACCTTGGAGTTTATGTTATCATTGACAGGTACCTCTGAGTTTCTGTTATTATTCTCAGGTACCTCGGTGCTAATGTTATTATTCACTCGAACATCGGGGTTAACGTATCACTCACAGGCACTTCTGAGTTTATGTTATCAGTTACTTGTACCTCTGAGATTACCTCAAAGTTTATGTTATCATTCACGAGTACCTCAGAGTTAAATATAATACTAAACAGGTACCAAAATACCAACACCATCGATTGTGATGCTCCCTAAAAACATTACACTTGCATGCACCTCTACCCACAGCTCGGTTTACACTCTTTATGTTTTCCGCTCCACAAACCCTTCATTTATAAGCAAGGGACCGTAAATGCCATTTGATATATGTCTTGGATAATGTTATGGATATATGTGCATTTAAAACGCTGGTTACGTCACTCGATGCTATTCTACGGTGATCGTAAATGTTGCCGACGCCCAGGGTGTCATTTGTCAAAGACCTCCAGGCGATTTTTCTGGCAATCACAGTGTTCACTGTCGCTTCATGAAAAAAGTAACATTCACTGTTAATTAGATAATTCCCAGATATTCTGCAAGTTTGGGGATACTGACATCCTAATCGACCTGACAAAAATTTCGTTTTCCTCAACCACATGTAATTCCGTTCGTCTTGGATATATACTGACTCCGACAACAAATAAACAGACAATTCAAATTTGAAATCTGAAGAACATTTGGTGTAACCTAAATTATATCATGCATACAAAATGTCCTTTCTAAAAATGCAACTTATTGAAGTTTTTACTGTGAATAAGGACGCTTATAGAAATCACACTGTGGACACTTTTGTTCCTTATTGGCATGTAAAACCGCGTTAATCCTATTAATACCGTTCCCAGCCAAATCGTCCGGATTTTAAACTTTCTGATAAGGTAAGCATATGTAGGTAGTAAAATTCCATTATTTGTGTATAAACGTTCGCAAGAGTACTCGTCCGGATAACGAGAACGTACTACAATATAATCCAGTTTGCACTGATTTCTCATCACACGGTGAATGCTAGTGGGATGTATCAGTGCACTCTTTTGTCATCCCTATTTACTACTGGTGTATTTATATGGAGAGTGAGATTGTTTTATAATATATTCATTATTTTTATCAGAACTCGGCTTCTTGGGGTTGAATAGTGTCAAAATTAACTTTAGCATGTCTGGGTTACAACATTCAAGGTCTTCGTAAAGATTTGTAATGTCTTTTGGTAGACATGTAAAGCTAGGACATTTCCACATTTGTCATATCAATGAGAAAATTATGTCCGATGTCCCCTATTCCCTGTTGAATGTGTACCATATGTTCCCGTGTTTGTTCCGGTGAACACTTGACTTGTCTTTGCGTGTGTTTATGACGTATGCTCATTTTTTCGCGACGCGTTGTACCATCGCTAGTTGAGAATGATTCGTTTGACACATGCTTATTAGCGGGTATGCGTTATGAATAGGGAAAGGGTTTTTTGAGAGAGAGAGAGAGAGAGAGAGAGAGAGAGAGAGAGAGAGAGAGAGAGAGAGAGAGAGAGAGAGAGAGAGAGAGAGAGATGTCATACAATTTCATTATTAAACCTCACTTCGGATTGTTGGGGTTGAACTTTGTCATATTAACGCTAAATGTACAAACAGTACTTATATTTACAAGAAACTAAAGGTTTTACAGCTACATGTATGCACGGGCGGCTTTGACGATCACAGATGGTGTAACGAGATACAGCCAGAATTTCCTTCATGTTAATCTTTATGAAATATCATTTCAGTACGTATCGTCTTACCTAGAGGATAGCTATTAATAGAACGAATAAACGCCTCTCTTTTCGATTTCCCATTTGGCACGTCATTCTACATAGCACCATCTGACATTTACCGATATTGCTGGTGATAGGTAATCCTTTAAGCTGCCGTGATACCGTCATTTGCTACGATAATCAAGTTTTGTGACATTAATCGCTTCTTGAAACGTCGAAGTACATGTTAGATACCAATATGTAAGGAAACCATTACTTGAGTTGACAGTGATTTATATGGTCACAGTGGATAGAACTCTGTCCGCAGATCGGAAGGTCAGTGGCTTGATCTCAGGCCTCGTGATACCAAAAGACGTTAAAATATGATATTTGTACATGGTAGAGTCAAAACTGCAGCATAATATCTCAATGGGCTTGTACTATAAAACTGGGATTATTACGAGGATGGTCAAAAGGTTCTAAGCCTGGCGAACTATTGGCCATAACAAAGTGAACTAGTCAATGTAGTTCATTGTTTGAGTAGTTCATTGCAAGTGTATTTAGTGACAGTCAGTTGAACGTAATTCGGGTCCAAATGGACACAGAAATGGAAAAGAACGAGTGGCGAGCAGTCATTAAGTTTTTTTACTTCAGAGAAAAGGACCCCCCAAGAAATTCATGACCGCATGTCACAAGTGTATTGGGATAAGTGCCCCCGCTGTTCCACTGATAAACGTTGGGTAGTTATATGTTAAGGCTGGTGGAATAATCCCTGATGATGACCCTAGGTCTGGACGTCCCTCAACTTCCATCAATGAAGATTCAATCAAGAAGATAGAAAATACTGTCAGATAGCCCTGTTACCATTGCTGTATTACCAAGCTATGGGTCTATTGAGACTAGTATTCATGCACATTTATAGATGAATAAGGTATCTGCCCGTTGGGTGCCAAAGATTCTACATTCTGATCTTAAGGAAAAAGGAACTGACATTGCCAGAGAAAATTTAGAGCTATTTGGGGAGGACCATTCCACTTCCACGTCACCAAAGAAATTCAAGTCTTCAAGATCAGTGAAGAAAGTTATGGCCACTGTATTCTGGGATGCAAAGGGTGCGATCCTTGGATTACTTAGAAAATCAAAAGACGATTACCGGTGCCTGCTATGCTGATTTGCTTCAGCGCCTGAGAGATTCTGTCAAAGAAAAGCAGCGAGTAAAGCTGACTGCTGAAATTCAGCTACTTCATGACAATGCCTTTTCTCACACTTCTCGACTTGCAAAGGCTGCCGTGCGACAATGCTGGTTCGGAGAGCTTCCTCACCCTCCATACTCGCGAGACCTGCCCCAAGTGATTTCCAACCGTTTCGTAAACTGAAAGAACACCTTCGTTGAAAGTGCTATGACGACAACGATGACCTCAAAGCTGCTGTGAATGTTTTTTTAGTCCAGCTTCAGAAAACTTCTTCCTTACTGGAATTGAAAAGCTTCACTACCGATATGAGAAGTGTATTGAAAAGCAGTGAGATCATGTTTAAAAATAAAATTAAAAACACTATCACAATTGTTTGTTTGTTAGGCTTAGAACGTTTTGACCAGCCCTCGTACAAACAGGCACACACAGAGTACATGTACGTCGATATATAAGTACAATAACATCTAACGTGACGTTAAACCACCTTTTACCTAACCTCACATAAGGGCATAAGGAACTAAACGCCCTCGAGGGTATTCCGGGTTGATGGGTTCACAGCAACCTACGCTGGTTGCAAGAGGAGCTCGGTCACGTGGTTGATAGCGTGTCATCATATCCCGACGGCGTGGATCGTTTGCTTACAATATCGATCACTGGATCATCTGGTCCAGACTCGATTATTTACATCATGCGCCATACAGCCGGAATATTGCTGTGTGCGGTGTTAAACAAGAAACATATGAAATCATGTGATGTAGCCTTGTGGCTTAAGCTTTCGATCGTGGCGAGAGTTGATTTTTCGCATGAATAAAACGTATAACGCTGTAGTAATATTATCCTGTGGCGTTTTACTCACCTTTAAACATATGCATATGACATGATGCATGTCAAATAATGAATATTCAATGTTATAAACTTAATGAAATGCAAATGAAATTTCATTGCGTGAAATGAGTGCAGGTTTTATGATAACATGTTTTGTACAGTATCTGATGTTCATTAAACCACTTTTGTATAATAACACGTCTCTTGGCAATAGCGGTCCGAGGATTGTCGTGAGCAGGTGTTTTAGGCTGACCGCGCTTTATGTCGATCTGAACCAGCCGTTACATGTATACTATTCTCCATAACCGAAACAAAATCAGCAACACAGTTTGAAAAGTTGGTTCTACATCACAGGTAACATCATTCCATAGTGGCTTGTAAATAATCAAATCTGGGCTATACAAACCGATGGCTGACAGCATGAACATCGATGCATGCCGTCCAGACTCATATTTGTTAGTATGATACATATACAATTTATCCCCGTCAGTACGTTTGTGCCCTACTTTGCTTCCTGGTGTTAAATAAACTGATTCCGAGTATTTTTATTGTCTGTTTTCTAAAACAACACATTGCCTATACTTAAACCTCAACTGTCTGACCCATTTAAACAAAACAGAGACCTGGTTCAGATAGAAACTAGAAGAATGCATGGCAAAGTTTCAAGTAACACAGGAACAAAGAGCATGGAATGTAAACCGTTTCCCAAATTAACCGTCTGGCTTCAATTAAAAAGCTGATGTTTTATTCTCCAAAGTTTTTGACTCATACATGTCAAAATACGCTTGCTGTGTCCATGGGCCCTCGCTGCTCTGTTGAAACTTTCCATGAACACAAAAGCCCTCGAAAATGCCCCTTTGGGAAATAACGGACTAATAATTTATTTTTTATTACACGTAGAACAAACGCCCTAAGTTATAAACCTGATATAAACGTATATACAAGGCTTTACACCCAACCGATCCTTCGCTAATCGAGATCTCTACTTATACAGCACAAATTACGGTACCGAAATACTACTTCCTTCACTCCGGATACAACAAAATACGTTAGAAGATGGCACTTATTGTATACCCTGCCTGGCGCTGGGCAATAAGGGTATAAAACGAGTACTGGTTTCACAGTCCGTATACTTTGTCTCAGTGAATGGGGTATGCATGTTAAACTTTGACATAGTATATCAGTGGGCTAGCACGGGAAAAAATCACCGTGACACTAGATCTGTGGCTGCATGACTCGCCGTGACACCAAGTCTGTGGCTGCACAATTTAACGTGACGTTAGGCCCGTGGCTCCGAGACACTAGATCTGTGGCTGCGTAGCCCTCCCTGACACTAGATTTGTGGCTGCGTAGCCCACCCTGACACTAGATCTGTGGTTGCATGGTCCACCCTGACACTAGATCTGTGGATGCATAGCCCACCCTGACACTAGATTTGTGGCTGCATAACCCACCCTGACACTAGATCGGTGGCTGCATTGTCCACCGTGACACTAGATCGGTGGCTGCATTGTCCACCATGACACTAGATCTGTGGCTGAATGACCCAACGTGACACTAGATCTGTGGCTGCATGACCCGTCGTGACACAAGGTCTGTGGTTGCATGGCCCACCGTGACATTATATCTGTGGCTGCATAGCCCACCGTGACACTAGATCTGTGGTTGCATGGTCCACCGTGACACTAGATCTGTGGTTGCATGGTCCACCTTGACACTAGATCTGTTGCTGCATGACTCACCGTAACAATAGGTATGTGGCTGTGTGTGACTGTCAATATTGACATTACGATAGGTCGAAGGTGCGAGTGAATAGGAAGCATATTCTCCCACCAAATATACACCGTTCTAGACAAGAAACAATATTTGTACACGCCGCTGTTTTGTGGTAATCAATATGTTTTCTAACTTTACACAGGCACGTGGCCTGAATATCACGCCCTGATATGATGACAATGAAAACAGCGGCGTTAAAAGTCATGGCTTGAAAGATCAGTGATCTACTTTGTTTAATTCATTTACTAAAGGGATTGGCAATCCAATAAATGCCACCACTATCAATACCGCTGTCAACATCTTGCATCGTCATCCCCGAGCAACCTCCACAGTCTATATTCAGAATATATTAAACTCAGGCTTGCATTGCGCAATGTGTCTACAGTGATAAGACACCAAACCAACCATCATCAGTGAAACTAGCAATACTAATTTTAAGTACCTAATATAATGAAATACATGCAATTACAAGTAGATTCATACCCCTATTCTGATCCTACGTATACTCTCTACATAGGAAATAATGAGATTACACTACCAACAAGGCTATCAGTTGATGTGATAACATGAATAAAACATGCACGGCGATATCTATCAATTTTCTGAATATTACCAACAGGTTTGTCGAACAACGATATGTTGGTATTTAACACCGATTAGAAACCTCACCTGCTCAATTGTGCCCTCATCTTCCTCCATTTCCGTAAACTGAATTCTCTTCTGTGGCAGTGGGGTTCTTGGTTTTTGAAAGCGCTTGCTTGAATCCACGATGAGGGTATTAGCGGCTGTATATGGAAGCGGAGGCTCCTCGTCTTCGTCACAATGTGACTTCGCCAGCGATGGATAGTAAACGTTATGTTCTGGTATTTCCATAGTGATCGCTAGGGAGTAGAGGATGGTTTCGACGTTTCCCAGGCCCTATATCGGGAGCCTGCTGCAGTGGACACGGATTGAATAGCCTGTCCTGGCTGTGGCTGATATTGCCCTTTTCAGGCAGTTATCTGGCATAATGAAAGACAGTTATTTACAACTAGATTCATATGAACGTATTATCATGTTAGTTCTTGTGCCGAAATGAGCACAGAATCATTGCTTTTTCCTTTTCTTGCCTGATTAAAGAGGCAATGTTCTGTTCAGTTTACGGACGCTGGTGCAGCACCCAATACATTTATCTACATTTGTTTGTCTCTTCAGAATTCACGCAAGTTTTACTGACAACACATGATGACGTTGTTGTTTAAGTAGTACAGTAATTCCACTGAAGCTCAATTTCGTTGGTCGCCACAAACTATTAAATCTGACTTACTGTATCTGATCAGAATGAAACGTAATATTTATTTATACTTTATAAAGCAAACCTCACTTCGATCAAATTGAATCCATTGAAGAAGTTACCATCGGAGATGTAGGTTCGTTGTAGGTATTATTATTATCCTTATTATTGTTCACTTTCAGAATGTTCATGGTCATCATTCTGGTCCTCTTTACAACGATAGTTTTGTCTCTAAGGCCAAACTGTTATTTCAATTCCTTGTGTAAATCTTGCCAATGGATTTCAAAGAACAATATATGACCGAAAGGAGCTGGACACATTCCTTTCCAGGCCACAGACTGGTCAAGGGAGTTATTCCAAAGTTCTGCACAATGATATCTTTGCCTTGAATGCACAATTCTTCTTTCAAAACGTGGTGTCAGGTGCCTTAAAAACATCACACAGCTTTACAGAAATGTTCCATTCACGTATCCTGTCTTTGTTATGCGTCACGTGGACCATACAATACGTGAAAGCTTCCCTCGTAGTTATTCAAAATGTAAATCTATTATCTATTGCAACAGTTGATATCATTTCAATAATAGAAATATCACGTTCAGGACTGTTCTCCCAGAACGGACAGCTCCATGGATGGTTTGAGATCTGGATGTTCATTCCTGTCAATTATAAAACACGATTTACATTTGAACAGTGCATGACATTTCTTGTAACACAATGAAATGTTAAATTGAGCAAAACGAAACAGAGATGATCATACGTTTATGAAACGTCTATCAGAAATGTGTTCCAATGCTTGAGCGTTACATGAAGCACGATGCACCAATGAACGAGTGTGTTGCTTTCCTGTAAAAGCTCTGTTGAAAGAATAGGCAACCACGAATTTGGAAAATTTGGATTTGTTTGGTCAATCAGAGGTATCAAATCACAATAACCACCTCTTAGTGATACAGATGATTTGACGACCGCATCACACCGGAGCTAATACGTGTAGAAAAGCACTTTTTTCTCAGTCATTGTAGGTACGCATTAAAATGTTAAAATGTAGAATGACAAATTACGACGTGCAGGCTTTCGGTTATTACAATGTTCAATATATATGTGGTAATACATTTTGGGCAGAAAACAAAACAGAGATCGACTAAGAGAAAGTAGTTCAAGTATAAGGGACTACAGACTGGAATTTGGTGCATTTCTATAGCCGATAGTGACGTCCAATTTCCGTGTCATAATAAGCTGTGTGACGTCATGACAGTGACGTGCGATGTTGAACTAATGAGTGCTCAATTTGCTGCACGTTCGGTTCCAAATTCCATTTAGCGCGGGTATATCTACAGGTACCCTAGATATACATTAACAACAATGCACGTTAATCTCTTAAGTGTATTCTGTGTTGAACATTTTGTTGAAAAAAGTAACAATGTCAATAATGACGTCTAAAGGAATTTGTATTAACTATTGCGTGTAAACTATTGCATATGACGTCAATAACGATGCATGTATTACATCAATAGCGGTGTATGCTTTACGTCAAGAATGAAGGACATATGAAAACATCTGTACACAGGTGCTCCGTCTAATTGTGTAGCGTGTCAAAAGAGATGCTATCAACCAGTGGTCTGCATGACCATGAATCGATTTTTTACTGCCTACTGGAGAGGCTGAAATAATTCGTAAAACAACATTGTTAAACTGCTCAGCTGAAGATTTAGTTTTATTTTCGGCTATTGTGAATACATACCAGCTTTCGTGCGATTATAAAAGTTTTACACTACACCGACGGCGAGTTCACACCGATGCTACATAAAATGCACTCACAGAGTATAATTATCATGTTGTACCTGCTTGCGGTAATTATCATGCCGCTATTGTCAAGAGACGTGTCGTTATGCAATAGCGGTTTATTTCTCAGAGTGAATAGCATACGCAGAATGTTATATCTGTGAACGTGCACGCATGTCACGCTTTGGCCAAATGAAAACCTTAAAATGCACATGTATTTCATTAACTTTATATCTCAACGCATCCAATTTTAATTCCTGAAAGTTATTTGTGCAGAAACTCTCCTCGCTGTGATCACCCTCGCTGGGGTCAACCTCAATCAACAACATCAACACATTTCAACATGATGTTTTCATGGGCACATAAGAAAGGGAAAGGTAGGGGGAAAATAAAATACTTTTTAGTTTAAAAACTCAAGTTTTAGCAATTGTTTCCAATGGCTATGATATATACAATAGATAAGTGATTTGGATAACCATAATTTCATGTGCAAATCACTGATCCACTCACTTAATGAAACATTAACGCTTGCACCCCGGATTTAGTGCAAATGAAGTTCAATTCTTACTTGTTCATGTTACATACGTAATTGGTAATACATGTTGATATTCATGTACATTATTAAAATGTAAAATGTATGCTTCTTCTGCTGCCTCGTCCCTATTTTCCTTCATGGTATACGTCTGGAAACTATTACACCATTTACTGGAGTAGTTTCTTAATATTGTCATTATAAGTGTAACCTGTCAACCATCGAGTAGGTTACCTTATACGTACTCATGTAAGTTTCTTATTTTTTGCTGTAAAACTTACAATTCAAGTTTAAATAGCAAACGCAATTTCACTTTCTTATGTTACAGGTATCATTTATTAACATTTCAAATTGTGTTTTGTTAATGTTCAGACATCAAATTAAATAATAATAATAATAATAATACATGTACAATGTTTTACGTGCATTATATTGCAATGTTTATTAAGTCAGTCGCCAGATATGATGTTAATTTAATAATAGCTCACCACTCACAAATTGTGACATCTGAGACTTACATGTACTTTAAAATATACTCAGATAATAATAATAATAAATGCAGATAATAAGCTAAAAAAAGGGTTAAAAAACCCATCGCATTCTCAACTTTCAAAAGTGCAGTACAGTTTGAATAACCATTTTATACCCACACTGACTGTTACTTGTCATGTATTGCACATGCATGGGCTAAACCACTGATTGCGTTCAGGCGTGTGTTTTGGGGTAGCTTTTTCATTCTACCCCAATCTTGTAATTTTCATTGTTATTAAATGTCGTCCAATCCACTCTGTGGGCATAAGTAACAAGTTCTTCAACTGTTAATCACATTGTCGATATACTCAGACCTGTTGACACTTGTTGGCATATGTTCATGTTTGCCACCCTTACATACTTAAATGACGCTGTGTATATTATATCTTCATTTATATGTTATATTCATATACATGTTTGTGATCATATCCATTAACATAAGATGACTATGTTTAATTAATTAACGCTTATCCATGATATGCAATTTAATTCAGTTGTAAATATTATCTTGCAACAAATATGAAACCATCTGTTTTCAAAAACATCTCTTTTATATTAAAATCTGCTCGTAAAAATTAAAATTTTACACCTATCATATTTTTCCGAGGAAACAAGAGAAATGATATGGGAAACGTGATATATCTATTGGTAGAAAATATATCCATCTTGGCTACAAACATGCATAATATATATTGCACTATATAAGTCCTCTTTTTTAAGGATATTTATATCTTTCCATGATACACAAAGCTCATTCTCATAATATGTCAAGTGTATATTTAAATTGAATGACAAATCTGATTACCCCTGTCACAATTTGGATAGTATTTGTCACCAAGAGCTGCTTTACTTATTGAGTGTGCCCCCACGCAGAGACACGTGTCAAGGAAACATATGTGAACAATTCTATATATTCGTCAAACCTCTGCATCAACATCTAGGAGCTCTATAACACAATATTAGTAACATTAGAAGTCTGTCAAATACTGTACATAACGTAGAAATATCTTCGTTTTAGCTATAAATAGGTAATCACAGACGGCATTGCATGACAACAGGTATTCATAAAACTCGTTACCATGAATGCCTTTATGAGAAGAGTACGAAAAGGTTTATGATCTGGTTTTGCAGAAATACCATTTCCCAACATGATAGAGGGATATATTGATATGTTCTGGAGGAACCGGAGTTACTAGAAAAAAGTTCTTAAACTTAGTGATAACTGATGAGGATAAGGGGCTCGTGATTTGTGTCGCCATCTCGAGTTAGTGAATAGGTTGGGTGTCTCCCCACTTTGAGTAAAATTTCATTAATATCAGACGTGTCAGCGGAAGGAAGAAACCTGGGTCCCGTTCTACAAAGCGATCTTAGCGCTACGACTATCGAAAGACTATGTTAAAGGATGGGAGTTACACCCTCTTAGCGCTAAGATCGCTTTGTGGAGCTGGGCCCGGATCTGACAGACCAAGAGTTCGGGAACATGACACATCTGGAACGTCATTTTCAATTGGATTATCCTGAAGTAAAATATTGAACTAATCACGTATGGTGCTACTGTTTCAATGGGTTTCAAGCATATCTAAAACGTACCTGTGCAAAGAGTAAAAAGAATTCTATACCAGGTCATAATCCTTTTTTTGTAACATTTTTGTTTTAAAACAATATAAGTATTTTGCTCTTATGTAAAGAAAGTAGATGTCATTTACAGCTATCAGAGACATGCACCCTTGCTAATACCTCCGTGGTGTAGTGGATGGAGCCTCTCCCCGGTTCAAGAAAGGTCGGCGGTTCGTTCCCTTGGCCGCGTAATACCAAAATACGTTAAAAAAAGGTACTTGTTATCCTGACTGGCGTTCGGCGTTAAGGGGATAAAACAAGGACTGGTGGGATCGTAATGTGTTCGATGTGTCTGAGTGGTCAACTCAACTCAACTCATACAATAAAATATACATTGTCAAACCATTTTTTACAATGAAACGACAACGAGGTTATCCACCATAATTTTTTATTGACGATCAATGGTGACACAGAGAGCTAAAATAGTACTAATTGTGTTAATGTTTTGGTTGCAAATGCAAACAGTTACTAATTTTGCTCTTACCTCAGGAGTTTCTCGTAGGCAAGAAACAGTAAAACCCAATAGCCTCCACTCCTACCATCCAACACATATTTTGGCTATTGTGAATTCATACCAGCTTTCTTATTATTATTAAAGTTTTACACTTCACACCGACAACGAGTTCACACCGATGCTGCATTAAATGCACTCTCACAAAAGCCTTCGTCCCTACCATCGAACACATCCGTGTGTGACACGAATGTATCTTCTCAACAAAGAAGTCCGCGACCAATTTCTTTTCCAATTTTGTATTTGCATAACGTATTTGTCTCTCGCCAAGGGCGTTGTCATAATGATACTAAACATTTCAGGTTCCCTAAAGAGCTTTCACAAAAACTGTGTCATTATTCGTAACGCAGGCATTTTCCACATAACACACTTTCTTCCTTAACCGGCTAATATTTCGAATATCTTAAACATTGATCTGAGGAATCGTTTATCAATATGTAGAGATTTCTCAGACGATGTGTGATCGTAAGATGATAAGCGAATTGATATTCTACGTGAATTTCATAGGAAATAAGTGACGCCCAGATGAATGATGTATTGGTGTTAAAATGGTAAAAGAAAGTCATTACTTAATAAAAGGCAGATCGTGAAGTAATCGAATGTCCCATTGGAAAATATGCCAATAACAGGAGCCACATTTGAATACGCCAATAATGGGGGCTACATTACACAGCGAAAATTCGTAT